TCTCTCTCTCTCTCTCTCTCTCTCTCTCTCTCTCTTTCTTTCTTTCTTTCTTTCTTTCTTTCTTTCTCTCTTTCTCTCTCTCTCAACATTTCACCACATTTTACTGTCTTTCTAGGCACGAAAAGCTCAATAAAAAGGCGAAACCATTTGTAATTTTAGTGAAATATTTCAATGCACCATAATGTTTGACCACATTTTAATGGCACAATGTCCATGTCTACCTTTCGCTTTTCGATGTACCTCTAAGTTTTCCCCGCCCACCTCTCGCTGCGGAGAGCCGACGCCTCGATAACGAGTCTAGTGCGCGGTGCCCGGAGCTAAAGGGCCCCAAACTGTAGAGTCTGGTGTGTGACCTTGCTGGGGGCCGCCCTTGCCGCGCCCATCCCGCCGCGGCGCCCGGCCCTGGCCCCCCAGCTCGCGATATGTCGGCCCTTGAGTGTTTAACGTCAGCCGCCGCACCATTAATCCTCACCACGACCACGGCCCGGGACCCCGCCACCTTGTCCGGTCCGCCACCTCTTTATCCCCCGGCTGGTCCTGTCCCCTCCGCCCTCTGCCGCCACATTTCCTTCCGCGCCGCCGCCTCCTCCTACGTGCCGCTGCGTGCTGCGCGCGCCCGCCCAGCGAGAGGCGGACTGGGCTGGGCTGCTGGGCCGCGCCCCGGGGGCCATTGGTATTCTGCATTAGCATTAGCAGCTCTGCCGCGCCCGCCCCGGTCTGGCCACCACTCATTGGGCTCGCCTCGAACTTGGACAGGCAGACATCAGGGGATTTCTGGCGAAATCTTGCCAATGTTGCCGTTGACACGTTCCTTTGCTGTATAGCCTAATGGGCGTGCGAAATCGAAGTGCCGCGGGGTAACACTTTGGGTCTTCATAATTAATGGTGACATAAAGGTGAGCGGGCGGTAATACTCGCCTAGCCAGGTCGGGCGATCCACGAGACCACCCTCAGCGTCTTTATGGCGGCGACACCGGTCCCCCAAAAGTGTTGTGAAACTTTGGTGGTTGTTTGCGCTTAAAAGTCAAGCGCGGCGCCCGGCGCATTGAGTCGGGGCGCCGCTGGCGCTGTCCCCAAGGCCCTCGGGGTCGTGGAGGAGGAGCCGGCGCCGGGAACACCACTAATCATAAACTAAAACGTTTCCTACTATTGAACAAAGTTTTGTTCATGTCCTCAAGGAGCGCCTCGTCATGCGCTGGTGTGAATGTCGTGGAGGGCGGTGGCCGTGGTGTCACTCGACTGTAGGGGGACCCCACCCCCCAACATGCCCCCTCGCGCCGGGCCCTAATCCCTGGCCCCCGCTCTCCCCTCTGGCCCTGGCCGAAACCCCTGGAGGCAGGCCTTCTCCAGATGACCGAACCCCGCGCCCCCTCCAGGCTCCAGTGGCAGAAGCCCTCTTCAGGGAGGCAGGCTCCCTTTCAGATCCACGATGCGATACGTCCTGCTTGCTTGCAGCTGGCTGAATCAAAGAAAGCCCATCACATTATGTAATAAAACAAAAATTGTTTTTGGAAAACAGCACCCTTGACGCGATGTGGTGGGCAAGCTCAAAGCTCAAGGGCGCCCGGGCCGTGTTCGTATTCAGTGCGAGTGAGTCGTTCCGAAAAGTCGATTAGGGGAGGCGGAGCAAGGCGCCGCGCCGCAGGCGTAGACTGCTCCCGTAGGTTTTTTGCTTTTTTCTCTCTCCTTTCTTTACATCCTTCCGGTTGAAAGTGCTTGCTAGAATGCGGCCTGACTGCTTACTTCCCTGCTTGCTGGAGTAAAGAAAAGGATGAGAGAAAGAAGAGAGGCGTTGGGAAGCGCGTAGCGAAAGGCTCTCGATGTAAGGCAGGCAAGCCGGTAGCAAACGGCTGTTGGGACTGCCGAAAGAAATAGTCCAAATAGCATCCCTATTCGATAGAGAGCGGTACGAAAAACACTCTGTTATAGTGTCAAACCATCCACCTCCAGCAATCGCAAGTGTTCAGCTGCAAATAATTATCCATTTGAAAGAAGTGCACTGAAAAAAACCCAATAGTGCTGACGACAGCTGCAACACCCCCAAGAACATTAATTTTGCTCTTGGATCGGCCCAAAGAACATTAGCCTATATGCTTAGAGCATATTATGTTGCTAACCATACGACAACGGTCCTTGTCCTAACGACAATGTAGCTGGCTCAAGAACAGCCGTTCGTAGAATGAGGGACAGTGTCGCACGGTTAGCAAACAAAAATGTTCTTGATCCAGCAACAGGCCTTGATGACCGGCATGTCCTTAGCAATAATGTTTTTTTTTTTTCAGTGTGCCTAACACGAACTCGGTACGACTTGAACACTCGCAACTCGGAATATAACGAACTGCGGATTTGAACACTTCTAAGTGTGGGAGTGTTAAACACTTCGTTTAGCAGTGCAATTCTAACTACTGCACTGGTAAAACAAGTGTTTAATTTTGCACGTCAATTGACGTTTAAGTTCAAGTGTGCATTTTCTCGACTCTTTGTGGTGTCTAACTTTGTTATACGTCAATTGGTGTTTAAAATTTCGACACTTCCGAAACGTGTAGCAGCTGTACACCGTATGGTTCCCTATTGACAGCATACAACTGTGTGTGCCCAAGTGTGCAGAATTTAAACGTTTACTAAACGTCTAAAATTTGCACACCACGCAAGTGTGCAACTTGAGTTAAACACCATGTAATGTGCAAAATCACAACTTGCACACGTTGGTGTGCAAATATTGCACACTTGTATTACCAGTGTGACGTCGCGTGGAAGATTTTTCTAAAAGCAACCCTGACGCAAAGGTGACAAAATCTAGAAGGGGTGTACCCGGCTGTACTGCTCGCTCTAACTATGAACTCCTAAATGAAATGGCAGCGAGAAAGGCCTGCTTACAATGCTAGTCCAGTTACCTCGCCAACTTTTGTGTGAAAATTAGTACAGAAAAGTACTAAATGAATACAGCTGCCCTGGCGGCTGGGTTGTGGGCGTGGGTGGTAGTATTTTATAATCATCTTACAATTTCAGCAGAGCCCACGCAACAATGTGCCGCTCTACCTTCTGGAGAACGGACCAAAAGTTAAGCGAGCAGGGGTAGGTCGAATAGAAGGGCGGAGGGCGGGGCGCTGCACAAAGTTTTAAACGTATAAAGGATAGGGCGATCGCAGCGTTTTGCAGAGAAATAGACAAAATTCAAAAATAATACAAACAAATGGCGTGCTTTCAACGAAGAACAGGTAAATAGTCTGTCGGGGTAAGAAACAAACATTTCCTTTAGCCAGAAAGAAGCACATATGATAAACTCTCTAATTTATTCGTTCTGGCGGGCGCGACGTTACATCGCGGTCCGTATTTCCCAGGAGGTGCCTCTGCCTCATGACTCTCTCCCCCTCGAGAGCCTCAGCGGGGGTGTGACGGCTCCGTAGACTTGTTGTAGTGGCTAGTCCACTCCACCCGACACCTACCATCCGTCCTAAAACCGTCCTGGTCCTTTTTGATCTTCGCGCTGATCAGCGAGGACTTCTGATTCGTCCGCGAATTCGGCGTGCCAATCCAGCAGCCTTCTATGTTCATCTGTATCCTTTCGCCCGAGGTCCCTCGGGGCGGGGTCGGGGTAGAGACGGAATGGGGTTTATGGTCCGGGGTTGTTGGGTTGCAAAGGCCGTAACACCAAGAGGAAGATCAAATTAGATCACGAGCGATTTACATCGACCCTCTACAACTTCGGCCAAAATTTTCTCACTTAACCTACTCATCAATATGAGTGAAAAACCATTGGCACAACCCCCCCCAAAAAATTTATTGGCGGAGATATGATTTTTTGAAGATTTTAGTCACTTTTTGTACTAAAATAAGGTTTAGATTGAAAAATTGCGCTTTCTCTTGCTGTATGGGTCCCAGAGGCAAATACATGTCATATTCTGGTAGGAAATTGTCTAAGGTTTCCAAAAAGGGGTAAAACTTTAGTGTTTGGGGTGAATGTATGGTAGATATTGAAGCCCCAAAACTTTTGCAGGCCTTACTAAGATCTTTGGGTTTTTTGG